CCTGCCTGCCCAGAGGGGTTACCAGGCTGCCAGGGCTTTACAAAACTCTGAAACCGTGACACAGAAAGCGTGAGAAAAGCACAACACGAGGTTGTTTTTACGATTAAGAAACTCGGGCTGACTCACAGAGTCGAGGCGGCGTATTCCCAGAGCACACACGGGGCACCCACCAGAGCAGGTCCCAAAGCAGGCACGGGGTAAGGGGGACCCCGGCACCTCGAGGTTCCCATCGGCACACCCCAAAGCATCCCCTGCAAGGGGGGCCCTCAGGGGAGCAGCACCCCTCAGTGCACATAGCAGCCCCACAGCTGAACATTCCCAGCCACATCCACAAAATGAGTTATTTTATCTCCTACAAAAAGATACCCTGAAAGCCCAGCTCGTCCTTTAGCATCTGGGGAGCGCGCCGAATTTTCCTTGCCCTTTAAATCACTTCTTCTGCCTCCCCCCTGCCCACACCCACTCATTCAGCGCTATTTATTATTGCTACTGATTTCCTAATCTCTAGCACATGATGCAAGAACAGGGCTCGGGACAATGTTACACATTAAGGCCCAGGCACAAAGCAGCGATGTGGGAAAGCTCCGCTCTGCACAATAAATAACTCGGAGAAGCAGGAGCGGGGCAGCAGGTCGCCCTCCCCCAGACGGGGGCATTTGCAGCAGGCACAGCCCAGATGGGGATGGGGAAGATGCTGGGGGTAAAACCCACATCGCTTCTCCCTGCTCCTTTAGGACCATCTCGCATTTTCCTAATGCCCATGGCAGGGGGAGCAGCCAGGCTGGGCACCGCAGGGGGATCTGAGGCAAGCTGGAGCTTTCTGCCCCTCCACAAAAAGGATTTTTACCTAAAATTAGAGGATGCTGGGGCAGATAAAGGGCTTGCTGCATGCAGGCAAGTCCAGCTCTGCAACATCAGCCTCAGGCTCCAGCTCAGACACCAGCCCAGCACCCTCTAGTTTTATATTTATTTTATTTTGGTTTTGGCATTTACCAAAGTTCGGTCCAAACCCCAAGCTGCCCTTTTCTCCAGTGAGAGGTGAATTCCCCTGCAGCTGGCCCAACCAAAGCTCCTTCCCAGGAGCAGAGAAAAGCCTGAAAGTAAAGCAAAGGACCTGCAGAAGACGAGGTCAATAAAAGGACCTGCAGAGCCCTGGTGCCGTTCCTGCAAATCCAGCAAAGCTTCAAAAGGGACAGCGAGCCACAGAGCTTGGTGGCCAAAATACGCCAGCAACAAAACCCCTGGAAGAAGCCAGGCACGGCATGATGAAGGAAAACAAAGCAAAAAAAACAGAGGGAGGGAGAGGGCGAGCGGGACAGACCAGGAGGGCACAGGATGGAAAAGGAGAGCGGGCTCTGCTTGGAGCACGCTCTGCAGCCCGCTGCTGAAACTTCCCGCCTGTGTGCCAGGCACTCAGGAATACTAATCAGAACTGAAAAAATACCAAACAATTAGGAAGGAAAGTCTCTTGGCAGGGTTTCTCCTGGAGACGTCGGGCTGGTTTTGTTTATGAGCTAGAGGAAGTGGTAACCGCTCCTGTTTGTTCTTCTGAAGAAAAGAGAAAGCTTCAGCGCTTTAATTTCTCCGCTGAACACCCTGGAGATTTCCCCTTAAACGGATCAGAATGGCCGATCTAGATTCGCCCTCCGCCTTTTTTTACAGGCAAATATTTTAGTTATTTTCTCCCTCCCCTTCTGCGTGGGGAAAGGAAGGGACGGCGGGCACAAAGCCCGGAAAATATCAATGAAAAGAGCATCCCCGGGGGCCGAGGGCGCAGCGCAGTCCCGAGGAGATGCCCTGGGCAGATGCACCCCGAGGAAGGGCAAATATATACACCCCAAACCCCCTCTGCATTATAAAGGCATGCGAGGGAGGGCACGGAGAGCTGAGATAAAGGTTGCAAAGAAGCGCAGAGCAAGGCCAGGAGGGTGCCAGGACGGGGTGGCAGCACGGATTTACCCCAGGGCGCAGCTCCCAGCTCATCCGCTGCAGGGTGCCCACACAACCACTTCGTTTAGGTCTCAAGAAAGTCCCATCAGGAGGGTTTGAGCTCACGTCTGGGCAAATTAAAGCGGGTTTATCGCGGTTTGTAACAGCGAGCAGAAGGCACGAGGCGTGCAGGGAAGGAGCACGGCGTGGAGGGCAGAGGCAGGTCCTGCCTTGAGGAAAAGCAGGTCCCAGGACAGAGCCACAGCCTGGCCTCGTGCCTTCCTCACCCAGAGGGGTGCTGGAGCCCACGGCAGCGTGAGAACAAAGCTCATGAGCCTGTCCCCGGGGACATCGGACTGCCGAGCATCACAGCACCACAGGCAAGCTGTGAAACCCGGGGCACAAAAAGCCCAAAGCTTTTGGGAAGTTGGGTGCAGCACCAAAGCGAGCTCGCCATGGAAACCCAGCCCTGGGGCCGGTGGCACCGCTGGAATTCGCGGTTGGCTCCGGCAGCAAAACCTTTCAGTGTGAATGGTGCCCACCCAGCAGTCTGTCACTGCTCTGGAAGTGCTTTTCCAGAGCCAAAATGTGCGGGTTTGTCCAGCAATAACTCACCCGCTTCCAGGCAGCACGATGTGGAAGCGCGGGGCCAGGCGGGGCTCCCCACCCCTCTTTTCCTGGGGAGCTGGAGAAGGCAGGGGAGGGAAGATGAGGAGGGGAGAGGCAGAGCAGGAACCTTCCCAGTGGGTTTTCTCTGGGGGATGCAGCATATCAGGCTATCCCTGGGTCAGCAACACAGCTCCAGGGATGCTGTGCATGGTCAAACCAGGTGGGGGTGGCCGATGCCTCCGCATCACACCCCAAATTTGCTCATTACCCAAGCACCAGCCTCTTGCTCTCCCGGTGCCCTCCTGCCCTGATGCCCTGACCCAATTCCCAGAGCCATGCTCCAGGGAAAATCCCAAGTTACCAAGTGAGGTGTCCTCAGGACCAGCTCTGCCCTCGGCACCCACATTTCCAGGTCTCACTCGGGGATCTGAAGCTTTTCAGACAAGAAACCTATAAAGCTGGATGTGCCAAGAGGTTTTGACTAAAGCCATATTCACGGGGTCACGCTCACAGCCCCAGAATTTTTTGCTCCCCAGCCTCACCCCTCATTGCCCTGACACCCTGCTCTCCGTGTACTGGGCATGAACAAGCATCCCTGGGGTTAGGAACTGCTGGTTGCCCCCAGAGCTTTGGGCAATGAGGCACAGGGGTTCCTACATGGTCCTGCAGAAGCCCATTTGGGCACCCACGGTCACTGGAGAAACACTCTTGAAAGATTTACTTTGGGTCTCAAAGCACCACCAAGCACTCCCAGCAGCTGCCCACCACCCATCACATCCCGCAGCACAGTGCAAGAAAAAAAATAATAATTAAAAAAAAAAAAAAAAAAAAAAAAACTTTCCACCCCCAAACCAGGCTCCCGGGACAGCCTCGCCCCCAGCGGCGGAGCCACAGTGCCACCCAGCGGCAGCGCCGCCCTCCTGCTGCGCTCCGGGCACGGCAGGGGTGGGGGGGCACCTCGCTGAGACCCCCCCGGGCCGGCCTCGTCCCTGGCTGGAGCAGCCCCGGCACCCCCCGGCCCGGGGATGCTGCGCGCCCCCGGGGGCGCACAAGGGAACGAGGGCGCACGGGGTAGGGAGCAGAGGTGGCTCCTGGTAGGGGTTGGGGGCGTCGTTTTTCCTGCCCTAATAACCCCCCCACGTCTTACAGTCAGTCCTGCTTCTTGCTCTGAGCATCCGGGAGGAGCTGGGGCGATAAAATCACCCCTCGAATACGCACCAGGGGTGCGGGGAGCCCCTCTGGGCAGCAAACACCCACTCCCCCAGACCAAACCCCCCGAGTTACTGCAGATATTTATAGGAGGGGGCAAAAAGCAGAAGAGGGAAGGACCAGGAGTGCCCCACAGACATTCTGCAGCCACCCAGGGTGATCCCAGCTCATGGTCTGTGTGCAGCCCGCCCTGAGTTTGGGCACGCAGCACCTGCAGCTCTTGGTGCCCAGCAAACGGCCCTGCCCCAGCAGAGCCAAACCAACCTCCCGAGGCAGAAGGAGAGATAGCAGGGAGGGAAACACGGGGAGAAGTTCTCCCACCTCCCAGTCAAGCACCAGTTAGCATCAGACACAAGAAGCCTTGCCCACACTTTCTCCTAACCTCCGTTTTGTTTGCATGGGTTTTGTACGCTTTTTTTTTTTCTTGGAGGCCTTTTGTGGTTTGATTTATTCTCTTTGGGTATTTTGTTTGTTTTTCAGGTTTATTTCTTTGGGAGCTTTTTGTTTGTTTCAAGCAGAGATTCACCTTAAAAGCTGGATGAAACTAAATCCGTGCTGTTGTTCCCTTGACGGGGTCACGTTTGACTGGGGTGAGCACACTGTGGTCACCTCCTCCTCCCTCCCACCCTCTGAAGTGCCTAAAATTGACCAAACCTCCTGAAAACCCCACCTAACACACCTCAGATAGCAACCCCAGGCACACACCCCACTGACTCCCTCCCCACTTTCTCCTCCGACCCCCCAGCACCACACCACCAGAACCAGAACCCAAAGGGGAGGCACCGTGAGGGTGCTGCTGTCCCACAGCCCACCCTGGGATCCGCACAGCCGGGGGGGGGGGGGCTGCAGAATCTGACCCTTTCCGAGTCTGGGACTGAGGTTTCCGAGCCCCTTGCGGTGGGGGGGGGATGCTCGGGGGGTCCCTGCCCTGCGCTCCGCTACCGGCAGGCGGCAGCGCGCACCCGAGCGCAGCGCCACGGAGTCCGGAGCCCGCTTGTCCCGGGATGTGCTGGCCCCAGAGGAGGGGGAAGGTGAGGAAGTGTCCCCCCCCCCCCCCCCCACCAGGGGACAGGCCACGGGTCAGTGTGCGTGGTGGGGTTTTGTGATTTAGGTCGTGTTAAAGGGTTTGTGCTGCTTGGAGGTGGAGGAAGGGATCACTGCAGCGGGACCCCCATCTGTCCTGGGGGATTCAGGGAGCGCAGAGCCAAAACAGGACCAATGCCACCACGAGAGCCATGAGGACATCACCAGCAGCCTCCCAGGATGGTGACACCTCCCCAGGGCAGCCACAGTCCCAGCAGAGCCAGCAGGGCTCGGTGCAGTCACTGCGCACTGAGGAGAGCCACCGACCCGACAGCCAGGGCACTCATTTAACATTCATCCCTCAAACAGAGGAAGATGCCACAGCAAGGCTAAGCACCGAGCTGCTTCGTGCTGGTTTGGGGTGGAAATCTCCACCTCACCTCAGCCCAGGGAGCTCAGCACTACCAGCAAGAGGGTGTCTGTGCTCATCCTCCTCCCCGTGCTTCCAAAGCAGGGATGGGAAGCCAAGGGATGAAGGCAAGAGCTTGATACCTTCAGATGCTCAACAAGGGAAAAACTCACAATCCCAAGGGCCTGTGGAGAGGCTGAGATGTGGAACAGCTCCAGTCAGACCCAAGGGAAATTGATTTAAACAGCCCAGCCCCGTTCAGCTCGCTGGGAGTTCGCAGTGCTAAACAAATCAGCCTCCTCTCCAGCGTGCATTTCCTTCTCCATCCATCCTGACAAGCACCCAGCTGGCAGAGCTGTCTCTGGGGAAGGCTCAAGCACATCCTCTGGGGTTCCCATTCAGCAAGAGCACAGACCCCACAGCCCTGCCATCCCCCACCGGGCTCTTTTTGGGCTGATCAAACAGCAGCAAGCAGGAACACAAGAGCCCTAGCCCAAAACAGAAGTGTGCTTTAAAAGTCCGCTTTAAAAGTCCTCCACAGCAGGAATTTCCCTTCTGTTCATCACATTTCCCAGCCTCATGACCCCAGGCCAACCCCCCCTCCAGGAAAACACACCAGAAAGCAGCCCAGGCAGGGTGAGACACAGCAAACCCCAGGAAAGTCACCCTAAGAAAGCCATTTCTGCTCTGTGCCCCAGAAATCAGCGGACCCTGAGGCTTGAGCCATCCCTCCAGGATAACACCAGAGGGAGAGGTGCTTTGGGGCGCAGACCCCCAAGAAAACACCAAACTGCACCCGCAGTGCCCCCCAGGACAGGACAACCTCCCTCTTCCCCAGCTCATTCTCCACCCAAGAGAGAAATGACCACACTTATTCTTCATCCTCCCAGGCTAACACAGAGCCACAGCTACTCCACAGAGCCCCTGGGGCATGATGCTGAGAGGTGTTCCCACAGCATCAGTGCAGATGCAAGCCCCCCCCTCCAAAAACCAAAGCCCTGGCATCATTTTCCAGCAGTCCCCTGCCTCCCCCAGCATTTTTGGTTTCAGGGAGGCTCACAGCTCCCCTCCACAGGGAGCGTGGCCACTTCCAGCTCACCCCCTGCACCAGCTCAGGACTGGGATCCCCCCAGTACCCTTGAGACAGGCTGCACATTGTTCCCAGTAAGCCTCAAACAGCAGCTTCCCTGCATGGCCCAGCACTGGTGGCTTCAACAGGCTTTAAAGTGCAGAAAAGCAGCGGGGTGCCTCCGTTCTGGGGAAGGAAAGAAAGAAAAACCTGCTTGTGGGCTGCCCCACTCCAACTCCTTTGTCCATCAGTAACTCCAGGGAGAAAGCTCTCATTTGGGATGAGATGCTCTTATTTGGGATGAGATTTCAGGCTTTAGATGGGGCTAAAAATTGGTGGTTTGATTAAAGTAGGATGGAAAAGCCAAATCAAGCTTCCAGAGCTATCCCCTACCTCCTCCCCTGTTTACCCTGAAGTAGCAGGTGACTGGATTTGGCATTTTCCCAAATGTGGGGAAAAATACACCTTAAAGCAGCCAGCCTTAGCTCCACAGGAAGGCTTTTTTTCCCCTTAAAAAAAAAAAGAAATAAAGAAAAGCAGGTATTCTTCACTCACCTAAGACCAGCGGGACTTGTCCTACACAGGTGCACAGACTCCATCCTCCTCCAAAGAGCCACGATGCTGAATGAAGCAGCCCAAAAAAAAAAAAAAGAGAGGGGCTCTGAGCCCTGGGCTGGAGCTGCTGCTTTCCCATATCTGTGAGCTGGGTGGTTTCATGCAAAGGCAGCTCCATGAGATCCACAAAAAAAACGCTGCAGCAGCAGGACGATGCCAAGAGCAATAATCCACCAGATTTGGGGAGAAGCAGGTGTCCGTGGCCTTCAGGCAGCAAGGCTCGCTCCCAGACGGAGGCAGAAGGGAACATCCAAACCCCTCTGCAGTCCACGAGGGCTCCAGACTCTTGAGATCATCCCAAAGAGAAAACATCCCAGGGCAAATCCTCCTGCTCAGGGCTGTCCGCTTGGTCGAGGAGAAGTCCCAAGCCTGCACGTGGTCAGGCTGATTGCTCCTCCTCACTCCTAGCGATGGAGACACTCCAGCAGTTATTGCATCTGCCCCTTTCAGCAGCAGAAAGGTGCCAAAACGTGCAGAGAAACAAGTGTCAGGACAAGGGAACGGCTCGGCCAGCCTGCACCTTGTCCTCCAGGCGTGCTGCCAGCTGCAGGAGCAGGGGGGCACCATGCACATCCCAAATATTCCCAAATTCAGTGTTCAGAGGGGCACAGCACAGGGTTCCCGTGGTGGAGAGCAGCTCCATCAGACGATTCCCAGCTCATTTTCCTGTCCCAGTTCTCCCAGTAGCCATGCTGGTTTGACATTCAGCCGAAATCCATGCGCAGGAGGGGACATCGCTTCCTCGCGGGGCACCCCATCTCCACGGCACAGCAGGGCGGGGAGATGAATCCTCCAGTGCTGCTAGGATTTCCTAATTAAATTAAATAAGCACCTGCAGCTGGGAACCAGCCCGCAGCAGCTGTGTTGAGCTCTCCTGAAGGTCAGCTGGAAACCAAGAACCTTTGGAAAGGAGGTGGCTGAGCACAGTCCCCCCGCTGCGCCTCACCTCTCCAAAAAGGGAACCAAAAAAAAAATCACCAAAACACCATCCCAGTGACCAGCGGGCACGCAGGATGGGGAATGCTCTTTAGGATATATTTTGATTTACAGCTCGTGCACCAGGTCCAGGCTCGCCCAGCGCCGCCTGCGCACTCACAGCCCCATTAGGGACGCGTCAGCCCCGCTCCGTTCGGGCGCTGCTGCTCGCCGGCACAAAGTCCGTATTTGTTTCCCCCACAGGGGTGGAAATAAAGGGGGTTTTGTGTTTTCTTCCTCTTCTCTTTGCAGGCTGGAGTGAGTTTATTTGACACTCCGGCACTCTTTGTGAGCTGAGTGCCCGGGGATAAATGCTACCCTTAAGAGTTACTTGGCGTTAGACAGAGGGACCCTCTTCAGAGGAGAATGGGGGCTTGTTGGGATGGGGCGGGGGGGGCGCGGGGAGGGGGCCTATGGAGCCCTCATAGAAGGGTCTCTGTCCTGGGCCACAATAGAGCGAATTCTTAAAGATACCGGGAGCTGAAAGGAAGGAAGGAACTCTCCTCCCTTTGAAAAAGGATTTTCAGGAACAATTGAAGAAGCTGTAAGAAGGGGGGCATTATTCCCCATCCAGGCTGCCCGGCTGGCCAGCCCCCCTCCCCCTGTGACACGGGGACACCCAGGAGGCAGTGCCACTGCCACCACCCCGACCCCAGAGATGTGACCCCAAGCCAGGGGCCAGGAGCAGGACACCACTGTGCTGCCAGCAAATGCTGCTGGGGAGCTGCAGCTTGGCACCAAGCGACCCCAAATGCTTTCAGTGACCGATTTCAGCTCTTTCTACCCCATTTCTGCTCCGAAGCACAGCTGGGCAGGATGCTCATGTACATTGCAGCACCCCTGGCATCTCACAGCAGCAACCACAGCCCTTGGAGGCCACCCTCCAAGGCTGCTTTCGGTGGAGGTGGCAGCACTCAGCCACAGGTCCCACCTGGGACACCCAGCGAGAGCCGAGCAGGGTTTTTCTCGACTCAGAAGCACCAAAAAGCAGCTGCCAGGTTTAATTCCTGGAGCTTATTTCCAGACCCATTGTATCAGCCAGGCATTTGGCCACGCCGCCAGGGAACGAGCCCGATGGCCTCTTGGTGTCACTGGCACCCCAGGTCCCAGCCGCTGGCAGCGGGTTCGCCCCAGCAGTGCCACCTACCCAGAGGTGAGCAGGGGGGTGCCACCTGCCAAAAACCACACAATCCTAAACCCACAGATCCTAAAGGAGCGGTCCCTGCACCTCCTGGCGTGAGCCCACACACAAGTGACTTTTCCCCCCCATCAGCTTAGGAAAAGGTTTCCAGAATTGAGACCCACTCAGCTTCAGCCGGGAGACCTGAAGGGGACTCCGGTGCCACCACGGAGCCTCCAGCCACCCGGGCAGGAGGGGATGCTGCCACCCCCGAGCAGCCTCCTCCTGACCCGATGCATTCAAACCGTTCACAGCAGCACTGCAAAGCTGGACCAAAGCCCTCAGACACCACCATGCAACAACATTTTGGCCATGAGGACCCATTTGTGTTGCATTAGGGGTTGTCTTGGAGCGCAGTGGGAACAGAGCCACTGCTGTGCGCTCCCTCTGCGATACCACAGGAATTGCAGCTGCACCAGACACAGCTCCCATCCCCTTCCAGGGAGAAGAGCTGGGAAAATAAAAAAAAATGCAGGAGGAGCAGGAGGAAGCTTGGCTGGGTAACATTTGCTCCTGATCTGAAACCCATTCCGGGCTTCGTTTTTGCAGGAAAGCTGCACAGCCACCCAGGGATCCAACAGATTTATTTAAAGGCTCAGGTTTTAGCCCTCCAAAAATTATCTGTGGGTCCTCACCATCAGCTCTGCCTGGGAGAAGCCACTTGTGGATAACCCAGGAGCAAGAACCACCCCAGCCCCATCCATCCCAGCCCCTTTTCCTCTTCCAGGCAGCTCTGCCTGCAATTCAGCTGCTGCCACAGGGGGGAAAAACCCAAAAGGAAGCCAGGAGAACCCCACAGCTCCGAAACCAGGCTACGGAGCAGGACACGAAGCCAGGCTCTGTCCCCGGGGACTAATAAGGTACCACGCTGTAAACCCTGATCTCGTGTTAAGAGTTTTCATCAAAACCGAGCAGAATTTATTAGGGAGCTACAGGACATCCTAAAAGTGTTTTCACGCCGTGTTTACACCATCACGGGGGGCTTTACGCTGCCGTTTGCCCCTTCATTACTTTTTTTTTTTTTAAATACATCTTTCTGATGAAATAAGCTGTCCCGAACAAGGCTGCCCTTTGTCAGGCAGTTATAACTTTAACTTTCTGGCCAGCCTCGGTAACTGGCAAAACCTTGTGCTTTTCTTGCCCTCTCTTTTGTTGCTTCTCCCTCCTGTTCAGAGTTCAAACAAACAAAAAAAAAACAGCAAGCAGCATTGTGCTGCTGGCATTATCCCCACATTGTCTGGGGCTACGGGAGCCGGAGCCCTTGTGGCCAAAGACATTTGATCTCCTAAAATTTAAGGCTCTCATCATTCCCGTTACAGAAGAACCCCCGGACAGAGAAGCTGGAGCCTAAAACCCTCCGCAGGCCAGATAAGCTGCTGGAGAACCCCATCCCCAAGGAGAAGCAACGCTGCTGCACTAAATATATTTGAAGCCCAAGCATTTCAGGGACTACCCCTAAAAACCCCACAGCACGCAGTTGAATTTAGAGCTGTTTTCTAACAGTTCGTGATGCCCACTGCCATGTCTGTGACCGCCAGCCCTCCCTGTCCCAGAGCATCCCTCCTCTCCCAGCCCCTAAGGAGCGATTCCACCTTCCCCAGCCCACAGCTCCCACACGGGGTCCTGCACTGGGGGCAGCCCCAGATGCCTGGGGGCTAGGAATTAGGTCCTGGCAAAGCCCAAAAGATTTGGGGTCGGATCATTAGGCCACCTCTCCTACATCCCCGTGGCTGCAGGCAGGGAGAGCCGCTGCGGACCCACCAGCACCGAGTTCCTGGAGGCTCAGAGGTGGCCACCAGTGACACCAACATCCCAGCCACTGCCACCAAACCTGCCAGAGCCCTAAAGAGACACAGACCCCATCCCAAAAGCTGGGGGCTTCCCCGCACCCCCCCCAGCGAGCTGGTGCCGTGCAGAGACCGAACGGCCAGGGGACACCAGGAGAGGAATGCTCCTGGAGATAACAGAGCTCACTTCCTCCTGCCCGTGAAAGGAGGGGATTGTGCTCCTCTCCGCGGCTGTTCGGCTCGCAAAGTCCCTTTGCACTTTCGGTTCCACACCCTCAGCCCAGCAGAAATCCATCTCCCCATCACCGGGGGGCTGCAGAGCCCCCGCCAGAGGAGCTCAGCCTCACCGCCAGCTGGGAGCACCCCAGGAAAGGCTGCGTCCCGCACCCCAAATTAAATATTTGGGGGTGCCACATCTCCTGTTTTACACAACTGCCTTTAAATTTAGGGCAAAACCAAGCAGTTTCAGCTCTTTTTGCAGCAAACCCTTTGAAAGAGGAGAGCACAAGCGTTGCAACACCCCCCTGACCCCACAGCTCTGCCCGGTCAGCACAGGTGGGACCCCACAGCTGCGGGGGGGTTGAGGTGAGCTGAGGAAACAGGTGAAGGTTTTTCCCACCCATCCCTTATTTTTGAGGGAACTGAGAACACCGATAACCCAAAAACACCACCCCAAAACATCACCTGCCTGGCAGCAGGCAATGAGTTTGGGGAGAAAGGGGTCCCCAAATGGTTTTTCAGCCTCTGGGAGGAAATTTCCCCTGGGAAATGCCCCCCAGAGGCACAGCTCCTTCCTTCCCAAGTCCTGAGCCACCCCACACAGCCCTCTCCCCCCGCTTTCATCCCCCCCCCAGCTGTGACCGTGATTATTAAAAGATGTCTCAATTAGCAAGGGAGCCGGGCAGCCCCTCCGGTCTCCAAACCTTTTGCAGGGAGCGCGTTCCAAGCCAGCAGCGAGCAACCCCACCAACATCTGGGCACTAAAAGCACCTCCTGTTTATACCAAAATTCAAACATCCTTCCCCAAAAGGAGCATCCCTCCTCGGGGCAGCGCTGTCCTCCCTGTGCCGGGTCCCCAGGAGCAGACAGCACCGATTTCTGTGCTGGCCGCAGGTCTCACCTAGTGGGGTCTTTTTGTTGTAGCAAGCAAAATTAGTTTTGTTTTTTATGTTTTTTTTTTTCCATATTTTTTCCAGTGTTTTCACCAAAGTGCTGTTGTGCATCACAGGTATCTCACATCGCCACCCCCCAGGCAAGCGTTCCCCGCTCAGGGCAGGCAGCACCAGAGGCTGGGGAGACCCCCAGGGACCCCCACTAGGGCTGGGGAAGGGGCTGTGTGCCCCCAGGACCCCCCCCCTTTTCCACCTCCAGGCACCTGCCCGCAGCGCGCCCAGGGCGCGGAGCCGCCGGGAGCCTTTCTAAGGAGGGTTTCCAAGGAGAGGAGAGGGGAAAAAAATTCATCAAAAAAATAAAAAAAAACGGGAAAATCACCACCCGCACGGCTTCTCTTCGAGAAAACACCTCCCCCCCCCCCCCCCAAATCCTCCGCGATCGTCCCCGAGAAGCAGCGGGCGGGGAGGGGGCGATGGGGGGATGCTGGGGGGGGGACCGGCACAAGGGGGGGAGACCCCCAGCCCGGTTCAGCCCCCCCACACCCGATAACGACCCCTGGGGGGGGTGCTCCGAGAGGCTGCCGATACCCAACCGGACCCCCCCAGACCCCCCCATGCCAAACCTACCTCCTGCGGGCCGAGCCTCCCGGCATCGCCATCCTCATCCTCATCATCCTCATCTTCATCCGTACGCACAGCCCCCGGGGGGGCCCGCTTCCACCTCCCTCGATAGGGAGGGGGGGCTCTGGGGTTATATTTTTGGGGGGGGAACCAAACAGGGACCCGGGGATGCTCCGACTGCTGCGGCCGGGCCATTGCCCCCCTTATAAAGCCCGGCAGCGGGCGGCGCGGCTCCACGGGACTTGTAGTTCCTCCCCCCGGGCTGGGAGCCGCCCCCCTCCCTCCCCCTGGCCCTCCCCCTGGCTGTCTGTCCGTCCGTCCGTCCGTCTGTCCCTCTGTCCGAACCGGGGGGGTTCCCCTCCTGCACGGGTGGGGGGGTCCCGACCCCAAAACCTGAGGGTTTTGGGGGGTGCCGGGGGTCGCATCCATCCCCCCCCCCCCCCCAGGTTATCCAAGCCCTCATGGGCAGGATTTGGCCCCAACCCGCTGGGTAAATGAGTAACTCCCCCCCCCCGGGGGCTTAGCACTGAGCCCAAGCATGTATTAGTTATTGCTCCGTTTAATTATTGTCCCAATTATTAATTTGACTTAATCATTAACCCGCCCGCGGAACGGAGGGGGCAATTAACCGCGCCGCTCTGACATCCAGCCTCATTTAGGGCCCCTTCTCCCAAGCACGCCCCGGCCAGGCAAAGTCACCTGAAGGTCCCCAAGGGCTGGGTCCTTCCCTGGGCTCTTCCCTGCAGCCCCAATTTTGTAGGGTGCAGGAAAATGCCCCAAAGGTGACCCCATGCAGGTGGCAGCAGGAGGGCGAACACCTCCGTGCCCGGTGCCGGATGAATTTTGGTTAGGGTGAAGGGTACAGAAGGTGCTGGGGGGGTGACCCCACACTTTCCTCACCCCAGGGGGTTCAATTTGGCTCAGAAATCCCCCCTTTGGCTGCAGGATCCCGGCGCCTTCCCACCTGCACCAAGCTGGGATTTTTCCTCCCACCCGCAGGAGTGAAAACCCCAGGAGTTTTCTAGGACAAGGGGGCTGCAGGAGAAGGAAGGCGAGAGAAGGGAGAAGAAAAAAAAAAAAAGTCCTCCTGGCAGGTTTTCAGGGCCCGAAGCCGGAGTGGAAATGCTTCCCTTCCCTAAATTGCTTCGAGGCCAGATGAATTTCTTGAAGAAACCACAGCCGAAAACGCTGCACAAGTCCCATTGTTGTGCTTGTGTTGGCTGCGCGCTGAAGGAGGGAAAAGGTCATCGTTTGTGGTATATTAAATGGGGGAAAAAAATATTATTTTGGTGCTGCGGAGGGGGCTGTGCTGATTTTTCGTCCCCCCCTGTTCTGTAAATTCAAACCTGTTTGGTGAGCACCCGGCTGCGACGACGCTGGGAAAAGGGTTTGTGCGTGGCTCTGCTGCAGCCCCCACGTCCCCCTGAGTCTCCCCAAGTGTCCCCAAGCCCCCTCGTGTCCCCTCGTGTCCCCTCGTGTCCCCTCGTGTCCCTTCGTGTCCCCCAGCCCTGCTGTGGCCCCGCTCGTGGGGTGCAGCCGGTGCCCAGGAGCGGCTCCGGGTCCCGGTGCCGTGGGCGAGCGCAGCGCTGCGCCTCGGCAAGTCCCTGCAGATTTGGGGCCGAGCGGGCGAAGCGTTGTCTGCCTGGCGGTGGGATGGCTCCAGAGCTCACTGCTCTTAGCCAAGCACGGGATTTGGGAGCTCTTTCCAGCAGGCAGGGTCTGGCCGTGCTGTAACTCACCTGTCCCCGCTGGTAATTCGCCCCAAAAAGCAGCTCAGGGCAGAAAGGGCTGGAGAGTGGACGGACAGACGGACACACGGACCCACAACCAGCCCTGATGATCCGTAGCTTAACACGTCCTGCTGGGGAGGATGGGCTGGGGGTGCTGCTAAGAAGGATGAGACCCAGACCCATGCGCAGAGGACGCAGCCCCGCGAGGCATCGCTGGCATCCTAAAGGACGGCCACGAGCCCCTAGAGCAGCTTCTGCTGCTGGAAAGGAGGGTGAGAAACACCCCGGTGCCCCGGTTCCCCCAGCCAGGAGCTGGGCTTTGATTTACGGGAGGATCCCAGCCCTGGTTTTGCAAGAGCATGACATGACGTGAGCGCGAAAGGTTTTAAAAGCTGCTGAACTCCGCGGTGCCGCTGCCAGGTGAGCCAGCACGCGAGCACGAGCCGGGGCTGGAGCCCTGCAACATTTGGGCACGGCCTTGCGTGACTGCAGCAAACACAAAGACATTGTTTTTAGGGGGGCGGCCACCTCCCCTCCGAGGCTCCTTGGAGAGGACAGCATTCCTGCCTCGCATTCCTCAGCCTCCGCTGAGCTGGGGAGGGGAAAAGAGCGAGAGGGGGGGAGCGAGCACCGAGCTTTAATTAGCAGAGTGGTGGTGGCGGTGGGTGGCGTGGGCAGGGAGCAGGAACGGAGTCGCCCATAAAGCAAGATAAAGCGCACGCGGATCAGGTAATAAGGGTAATTACCCGAGAGCCTGTAGACTTAAGAATGTCAACCAGATGTTTCCAAGTCACTGCAAATCGGCGGTTTCCCGACAGATCCATTTAGGGCAGCTGAAAGCATCCTTTATCCTGCGGGGGCAGGGATTTTGGGGCACCTGGAGAGAGGAGGACAGGGGAGCTTGGTCCTGGGTGAAAATGCTCCACAGCCCCCGGCCACGCTGCCTCCGAGAGCTTTGGGAAAGCTTTTACGCAGAGGAAATCCTCCCTGCAAGGGTACGTGGAGAGGGAAGGGATTTGGGGAGGGGATGCGAAAAATCCTCACCAAAAAAAATAAATAAATTGTGCTCTGTGATGGGCACCAGCACGGATAAAATGAAAGAGATAAAGAGATGGGAAGGGAGAGGTGGGAATGAGTTCCCACAGGGTGCCTGCTCTCCAGGCCTGGTCAGCACAGAAACCTCTGAAAGTCCTCTGACCTCCAAATACCCTCCCCAAACCAGCTAAATATATATAAATGTAGTGAAATACGGAAACAAAAAGCTTTTTATTCCATTCGCTGAGAGTGCCAAATGGCTGCAGGAGCCAATAAAGAGCTGTTGCTCCAGGGAACGGGGAGCCACGTCTCAGGTAAAACAAAAATGACCTGAATCTTTGCCCAAAACCTTGAACTAATCCCGAAGTTCAAAAAAAAAAATAAAAAATTGAGGTTTTGTAAAAAAGGAGGAAAAACACGGGGGCATATTTTGGTTTTCTCCCCGTTTCTGGACGGCAGCCTGGACCACAAGCGGAGCATCACTGCCTCCCTGGAAGAGCTGCCTGGGGAAAGAGCGAGCGAGATGGGAAAGCTCCTCGGAGGGGGGTGCAGGGAGCCTGTCCCTGACAGCAGCTGCAAGGGGGGGCCCCCATCTTCTCCTATCACCCTGGGAGAGGCTCCTTCCCCTCTGCTCCACCACTGATAGGACAAGAGAGATTTGCCGTGGCTCTGGCAGCATTTCGTGGTCTGGGGACCCCGGTCTGTGGGGTGGCTGCCCCCAGGCCAGCAAACACACATCAGGTCCTCCAAGGTGCACGGCTGCCCATGTTAAACTCAAGGGCTGACGGAAATCCACGTAGGCAGAGAATTTAGGGACTGCTGAGAGGGTTTCAAGGCACCCAGGGGCGATTCGGTGCCGTGCTCCTGCGCCTCGCTGCGCGCTCGTGCCCTCTCCACCCTCTCCAACCCTCCTGGCACAGCAGAGGCAGGACCCGCTCGCACGTGGTCCTCGACCTCCCACCCGGCGCACACCGGGGAGCCCAGCGAGGACAAAACACCCTCACCCAGCCTGATTTGGGGTGGTGATAAACCCCCAAATGTCTCCGTGGGGCAAAGGTGCTGGAAGGGCACAGGTAAAACTACAAACCCCGAGTGCCAAATCTGCTCCGCGCAGGGACTGGGAGGAAGAAAAATCCACCCTCATGTGACTCCAGCCCCATGCCGGGGAATATATGGGCTGTGTGTTTTCTGCTGAAGTTACTTAAAAAGAACTTTATAGCTGAAACGCTGCTAAAAGCACACGGCGCGCTCCGCTGCGAAGATAAATTCATGATTTAGCCTCGAAAAGGTGACTCATCTAACATCTATTATAAAGAGGACTAAAACCACACACACACTGAGCAAGATTTTCAAGGAGCCCAATGATTTAGTGTCTCTTTCTTTCTCTCCCCACACTTTTTGCCTCCTGCACAAGGATCTATTGAGAAGCTGCAGAACAAACGTTCCCTTATGCAGCTCCAAAAAAGTCTCCGTCAGTTTGTCTGAGACAGCTGCCTCCAAGCACGCTATGGTTACTCATTAACCGGGTCTCCCAGGGCAGGGGAAGAAGGAGTAAACTTAATAGACCCTAAACCAGAAGGAAAAAAAAAATAAATAAAAGAAAATAAATAAATCAGGTGTCCTGGAAAAGAGAGGGGAGAAAACAGGTGGCACCGTGAGCACCTCTGTGGGCAAACACTGAGGGTCCTGAGCTACCGAGCAGGAGGGAGCAATGGCATCGAGAGCAAACGTATGGGGACAAAAGAGCAAGATTATTAAAGGGAAGGAGAAGAAAGAGAGGGGACAGAGAGGCACTTGTGCTCCACGGTGCTTTATATGCTCCGGGTGCCGGGGGAGGATTACTTCATTGCGGCACAGCCGCTCCCCAGTGGCCGGACCCCTTCCCTCCCCCTCGTGCTCTCTGCATGCGAATGAGGGGCTGCGAGGGCCGGGGGTGCTCCCCAAAATCCCCGTGCTCCGAGGTGCCCCAGCTGCCAGCAGCACCCGCACCAGCCCTGTGGCAAAGCCTCCTCCTGCTCCTGCGTCCCCAGTGCGCCCACGCTGCTTTGGCACCACCGGCATCGCAGAGGGACTGCTGCTCCTCGTGCTGGGGGCTCACCCAGCACAATTTTGGGTCAGATCCTGCCCTGTCCATGCCAGGGTGCTGCCCTGGCTGTCCCCAACCCCTTCAGCCCTGCCCTGATGCCCTGTGCAGGCACCATTTCCGCGGGGTGGAGGAGGGCAGCCTGCACCCCAGGGGCTGCCGCACCTCGCGACCTCGTTTCCTGCAGCCCCCTGATTTTGGGGAGGAAAGCAGCAAGGGGAACACATCCCAAAAACACAGCCCCGTGAATTTGGTGGCTCTGCAGCAGGGCGGCATCGCTGGGGACAGCTCGGGAGCATCGCCACCCCCGTGCCCCTGGGGAGCCAAGGCCACGCAGAGCACCGGGAGCCGCTCCGCCCTCTGCACCCGGCAGTGGGAAGCACGGTGCCGGCCTGACGTCTCCGCCAGATCCTGATGGGGAACGATAATTAGAGATGCAATAAAACGCCGAATATAGCTGCGAAGAGCGGCAGTAAATCAGCCCTTCCTGCCATTCGCAGCCTGGGCCACGGAGCCCCGGTCACCACTGCCAGAATTAATTCCCCGCGCTTTATTTGCCCAACATGCTCTCCCCGGAGATAAGGGGAGGCAATTGACTGTAATTATCTCCCTCTATTTTGTCATGTGATTATTTTTTTGTTTTTTTTTGAAACAATTAAGGGATTGCAGTCAAAGGAATGGGGTGGGGATGGAGCGGAGCCAGGCAATCGCTCTCCCGCAGGACCACGGCCCTCGGGGCTGCGCAGGATCTGCCCCAGCACCCGGACCTGCACCCCACTGCTCCCAGTACAGCCCCCAGTATGGAACCTTCCAGCCCCCTGCAGCACGCACTGCTCTACCCAAGGCAGCATCTCCCACCCAGGGGTGCCCAATTCCCTCGAGCAGGGGGCACAGGCATGGAGCAGACATTGCACGGCCCCTTGGCACCCTCCGGCACCACCGCTGCGCCCGTAGCCACGAGCCCATGGACTCCACAGGGAAAGCTGCTCTCATCCAGCTCTGCCCAGCCCCTGCACCCCCCAGCAGCTCAGCACCAGCAAACCCCAGGGCTCTGCGGGGTTGGGATCTGCCTGGGAAAGGCAGGAGAAGGCTGCGAGGCGGCTCTCCCCCAGCCAGGTCAGCTGGTGCGCCAGCGGAACAGGTACCTTACGATTAGATTTTTGTGAAATGCTAAACATCTGGAGCCCTGCGTTACAAGGCAGCCTTTGTGCAGCTGGTAAATTATCGGCAATAAAACAGCACTTGTTTCTGAGAGCTTCAAGGAGAGGGGGAGGGAAAGGGAGAAGGGAGGGAAACCACCCCCGCCGGAGGAGGAACCGCGGCCACTTCTCCGCTCTCACCAGGGTTTTCCACGCCGTGCAGGGTGCGGGCAGCTCGCTGCAGCCACGGCCAAGACCTTGCTGAGACCTGTCTGCGTCTTAACCCTTGGAAAGGAGCAGCTCCCACCCTGCTCGGAGCGGGGGCTTTTGCTGGATCGCACTCAGGGTGTCCGATTCCAGCACGGGCTGGGAGCCCGGCTCCTGCGGCACAGCTCTGCGGGAGAAATGAGCCCACGCAGCTCCCCGCACAGCCAGCCCTAAAACAGCAACCCGAAAGGTCTTCACAGAATTAGTGGTGCTCCTCCGAGTGTGGTGATTTGTCACCCCCTGAATGCCCTGCTGAGAATCAGGGGTTAGCAAAGTTTGCCCCAAATCCTGGGTGGGAGATGGGAAGGGTTCGGGGAGATGCATCAGGAGCAGGGCTTCACCTCTCCGCGCGGGGCAGAGCAAAAAACTGACCCCAGGAAAGAAATGCCAGGCTGCAAAAGCAGCTCCGCAGGCAGCGCTGAGCACATCCTACCCCACTGCACGGTAAAGATAAGGCTCCTTGTCACAGCGCTGAGCACTTTCCTCTGGTATTGCTATGAGAGAGCCCAAAGCTCCTGGGCACAGCGCAGCTCCCCGACCTGGTCTCCAGCCCAGCTCCCACGGGACGAGCTGGGGAAGGTGCTGAGCTGGTGGCTGGAGTTGGGAACAGCCTCAGAGCTCGGCTGCCCCACTTCTTGCACCTTTTTCCAGCCTTTCAGAGCAGGGACCCCGCGTCTCCTTACGCACGGAGCCCGGAGAAGGCTCCTGCTCCCACTCGCAGCTCGCCAAGGCAGATTGCAGCGCCGCGCCTTATCAGCTTGTCATCTCGTCTAAACACGGCGTGTCTAACGCTGCGAAGGAAGAGGCAGCTGGGTTTGGGAATTTTGCATCTTTCCTTGGAAAGCTGCCGCCGCTGCTCCTCCCAGGTCACGCTCGCCGAGGTGCAGCGGGCAGGGAGGCTCCCGCGCCACCTCGGCGGCGATGCTGGGCTGGGGCAAAGGGCTCGGGGCAGAAGTTCAGAGCTCCGACCTCCTCCCAGGAGCAAGGCAGCAAAGCTGACAACCGCAGCAGCCCCGCTCCGCTTCCCTCTGGAGTCACGGAGGGTTAAGAGCCACCTCTGCAAAGAGCAGCAGGGAAAAAGCTTTGCGCAAGGAAGGAAAAAAAAAAAAATCCCCTTCACTCAGCAGCTGCTTCCACAGCTCTGCAAGGAGCGAGGCCAAGGATGGTGTCAGAGGCAGTGAAACCCCTCGGGGGTGGGAGCCAGGGTCCGGTTAAAGGAGTGAAGCTCTCCAGGCCTGAGCATCACTTGGGGCTTCCAGCTGCCCGGGTGGCCGAGTCCCCAGGTGCCCCAGGAAGCCCGACCTGGAGCTGGGAAGGGGGGGAGGAGGCAAAAATCCCCCCCTGGCTCCTCGGCTCCCTTCCACCCACCAGCGCTGCCTTCACTCAGCAATTACAGAGGCCCCCCGGGGGCTTTCACACCCAGTCACCTGGGCCTCCTTGTTCTAAACAACTTAATTTGTTTAATGACTCGGGAGGCCCCAGGGGGGGCTCCCTTGTTGTTGGAGACGTTTCCCTGGTCTCGGGAGGGTTTTTGCACAGCGGCACAGCCACCACCACCCAGGAACAGAGGGCAAAGAGGGGCTGCTGTGAAACCTGCGCCAAGACAAGAGCTCCCCAGCTCCCCAGGACGGATCCCCAGCTCCCCAGGACGGACGGATGGATCTATCCATCCATCCATCCGTCTGTCCATCCATCCATCCATCTATCCGTCCACCAGGCCCCCAGCAGCACCTCCCTCCTTTGTTCCCCAGCACGCCCTTTTCCCTATGAGCTAATCTTCCCTTGGCTCTCGGAGGTACTTTTATGGCAGGGGAATTGTTCTGCAGTAACAGGGAAGCAGATCCAGGCCGTTCTCTCCCGTAATATTTCCATCCAGGTTTTGTGTTCTGCTTCAGGCGCAGCAGAAGGATTGCACGAGATGAGCTGGGGAGAGAGCGTGTGTCAGGCTCTGTAATAGCTTCATTGTTCGTGTAAGAACACGAGAATGCAACAGGCCGAGAGAGATTTAGGCAATTCCCACATGCAAACCAGCTCTGGACACAAAAGCTTTTTAGTTATCATCAGCATTTTGCAAGATTATATTAAAATAACCCCCCGGGCTCAGCTTCCTGCTCTCAAGAGCCCCCTCACAGGATTGCAAAGCACAGAAACAGAGCCCAGAAAGCTTAACCAAAGACATCCTGAGAGCCTGACAAATAGGCTCTCCATCCTTGCCCAGGTGGCTTTCCCTCGGTGATGTAAAAACCTTGAGTTAGGGGAAGAGGCGCTAAGGACGGAGCCACACACAGGTCCCACACTGCCCCATTTTCTCTCTGTTTCCATTAGGAGGCTTTGCAACAGAGACACACTTGGGCCGATGTCACTTTACCCTAATTTCGCTCTCTGACCCCTCAGACACCGCACACGGCGTGCAGGGAGCAGGAGGCAGAGGGTCCCCATCCCACACAGCCACCACCGTGCTGCTGGCCCGCTGCCGTGAGGACTTTCAGCAACACCAGCAAGAAAAGGCACCCAGGGAAATATCCGAGAGCTACAGCCCGGCACGGACTCGGGGCAGAGTTTTTTTAGGGCTGGGTGACCATGCAAGACTAAACACACACACCTAGAGCACGGCACTACATACCTAAAAGGGAGACTGGCATTAGCTCAGCAAACCCCAGCTGGAACCCGGTGACCCCAGAATATTTGCCCTAGGAAAAGGGCAGCTTGGGACCTAATTTCTCTTCTTCCCTCTCCTTCCTGAGGTTCAGGGGTCTGCGTTGGGTGGAGAGATGCAAGGCAATGCTGCACGGATGGGCCAGAGATGGGTTTGGGGTGGCCGAGCAAGCTGGAAGCAGGAAGACAAACCCTGCACTCGCTCCGGAGTTTGGAGCCGGGAGCCTGCGTGTGTGCGCGCAGGAGAGAGTCTCACTTTTAATTGCAGCCCCGCTGCCAAGTACAACAAAGTCCGCACACAAAGAATAGAAGTCATTCTGTTGGAAGGTTTGAATTGTTTCTTTCCTACGGGGAGGGGAAGGGAGGGAGGTGAAATCCACTCCTTTATAAGCAATGACTCAGGTGCTGCGATCTACCCCGGGCGCGCATCTTGCAAGCCCGAGTAATGCCCTGTGCCGTGTTTTGTTTTACGGCATGGGCCCTAAGAATGGGATTATTGTTCGCTTGCGTGCAAAGCCCTTGCTTGGGGTTTGTCCCCACCCAGCCCTGCAAACCGCAGCCGCCTTCGATTCGCCTTCACCCTCCCCAGCACCCGGTGCCCACGCGGGGGCCACCCCCCGCAGCCCCGCGCACCATTCCTGCGCCCTGACTCAGCGTGAGCTGGACCCGTTGGGGTGAGCCGTGCTTCCCCTGCCCTGCCCCGCCTGCAAAACCCTCCCCGAGCAGCAGGAAGAGCGGTGACCGAGGCCGTCCTGCATTCCCCGCTGCTTTCGTGGTTGTGCATCACTGGGGAAGGGCCCCCGGGGTGCTGGGAGCCGCAGGGAGCAAGGGGGGAGCTCTCCGAGCAGAGCCCAGCGCCTTCTCCTTGCACCCCAGCTCCAGGCAGGATGGAGCAGCCCCAAACCAAGGGGACAAGCCCAACACACAGCCTCTGGACTGGCCACACCAAACCCAAGCTAAAGCCACCAATTTCCCAGCTGGTCCACGCTGCTGCGGGACGAATCGCCTCCGCTGTCCCAGGGTGGGTTGGCACATCCCCGAGTGCGCAAAAACCCTTTTCAAAAGCCCTTTTCAAAGCCCTAACCCCAAGACAACCGCGTGTAGCACCACACACCTGAGCGCCCGGCAGCCTCCCCGTGCCCCTTACAACCACGAGCACAAGGCAGTGATTGTCTCGGGGCAGGGCTGGGGTTTGCAGAGGAGATCCCCAAGAACTCGTACGCCGTCTCCTTGCGAGTCAGTCACCGGCGTTATTGCACAACGTGGGACGGCCATCCCGCAGCCCTGCGTCTGTTTGCTCCAGCCTCTGGAAGAAAAACCCAAGAAAAGCAGGAAAAATACACCCAGGGCAGCACTGCTGAGCTTTTTCTGCAGCAATGCAGCTTGGAGAAGGTCTCCGAGCAGCAGCTCCGCAAGGTGTGCCTGCACCCGCGCCTTCCTCGTGCTCAGAGCCTCACCTGCTGCCAAACGCACCCACCTGGGGCGCTGGGAGGATTTGGGGATTTCTGCTTTCTTAGCTCAATGGTCGGGCTGCTCGCCTTCATCAGCACAGTTTGCAAAACCCCAAAACCCACACAAAACCTCCAGGAAGCAGGCCACAGACTTACACGAGGTATTTTTAAACCCGAAGGCAAGAGGACATACACGGGCTGTTTAGGACCGGATCTTTGGCTTTACCTTTTGGGGTTTGGGGCACAGAGTGGGGTCACACTTCAGCAAGCCTTGTTGGAGGGGCTGAAACCTCCTGAAACGAGGCTTGCTTGGAGCCGTGGTTCCTCCCCAAAATACAAAGTCACAGCCCCCAGCCCAGCGTTGCACCCTCCTGGGTCAGAGCCTGATGCAAAGTGTCTGGAGCCTGGGCTGGCAGCTGGCAAAGGCACCCCGAGTGGCACTTACAGGGCTCAGCTGGTAGAAACAGCAAGAAACCCGAAAGCCAAACACTGCTGAGGTTGTTCAGGGCGGGCTGAGGTTGGTTAGGGCAGGCTGAGGTTGTTTTGGGCAGGATTTGTCTTTGCCAGCTACCGCAGACAAAGCCCTGGGGGCTGTTCTTCCACTTTGGTGCCCTGGCTGGTCCGAGTGACACCACAGCGTCCTGAATCAAAGGAACAGAGAGAAAGAAAAATAAAAAAACAGTGTGCCCCACACATTAGGTGAGCTGGAGTCACTTGGAGTGGGATGGTTTTCTCTCCATTTCACCAGACACGAGGCAGGGACGCAGGACATTTACCAAAGGGACCCCGGGATGGGGAGGGACCCCTCCTGCCCTCATCCCCAGACACAAAACCATCACCAAGCTGCTGAGCACCCAAGACCAGGAGGGGTCCTGGTGAACCCCCAGGACCCCTCCTACACCCCAAAAAGGGCACAACTTTCCCCTCTTTTCCCCATGCCCATGGCAGAGCCGCTCCTGCTGCTGCAGCCCCAGCACCTCTCCGTGCCATGCAGCTCCTGGCCGCGCGCTTATATTGCATTTGCTCCCAGCTCCACCTGGGTGCTGACAGCTATTGTTTCCACCTGTAATTCCAGGGCTGGCCCCCAGCCAGCTTTTCAGTCGCCGGTGAGAAGCAGAGAGATAATTTCATTCCCCTCCGGGGTACAAACAGAAAAGGAGGGATTTTCAGCCGTGTTTTCGGCATCGCCCTCCTGCCCTCCCCGCTGGCTTCCTACGGGTCCAATGTACATAATTACCTCGGCTGGCTACATCTAAGCAGGATTAAGTGCATTACGCGATATTATCTCCCAGCAATCTGATTACGAGGCTGCCTTTAAACGCATAATGTGTTTTTCGTACCGACTTACACCACACGCCAAAAAATCAAACAAGAAAACGCGCCTTGCAAACAAGTCCGCGAGAAATCCCCACCCGCGGACGCCCGCGAGGCTTTCAAGCCTCTCGGGAAGGCTTTTTGGGCTGAATGCGGCAGGCTGGAGCCTTCCAAAAACGTCGAGTGGCCAGGATGAGGTGGGCAGTGGTGGTGATGGTGATTCCCATGGGAGCTTGGCCCCGCTGCCCAGCTCACCTGCAGCTCTGGGGACAAAGGGACATTGTCCCCAAACCGCCTCCGTGCCTGGCCCTGGGCGAGCGCTCCCATCCCCGTGCCCGCTGCTCCTCCACCGGGGACCCGGCAGCCACAGCTGTTTTTAACAGGATTTTTTTTTCTTTTTATTTTTTCCTCGAGGGATTTGTTGTGGTTGGGTTTTTCTGAGTCACAAAGCTCCAACCGGGGTCGGGAGCTGGGGCTGGGCTGCAAAACCCCAGCGAAACACACCCGTGGGTGCCTGGGTGAGGCATGGCACAGATGCCTTTCTTCATCTTTTTCTTCTTATTTCCCGTCTCCATGCTTGATTTCTGGTCGAGAAGCAGGACCTTTGACAAGCCGAGAACCATTAAAGAAGAAAAGAAAAGCAGCAAAACGCAGGGAGGAGAAGACAAAGCAGGGATTTACTGCGCTGAAATAAATCAGTGCAAACTCAGAATTTCCCATTTATTGAAACCAATCACAGTAAAAAGGTCAAATCCATTGGCAAACAGTAGTTTTGTATCATCCAGAGTGACATACGAACGAAGTACAAATGAAACCCAACCGAAACGACGAACTGAACAGAAATGCATGGCTCTGACCGGGTTTACTCCAGCCTCTTCCCCCGGCTGCCCTGGTGCAGCCTCTCCAGCAGGACCCGCGCTGGCTGGCACCACCCTGTGCCCACAGATACGGCCGCAGAGGGGCTGAGATGCAAGCAGCAGCCAAGAGATCCAGTTATGCTGCTGAAAAATCTCATTAACCCCTTTTTCCTGAAAATTTCCTGAAAAATGAAGCAGCCTTGGTGGAGGGCGAGGCGTGCCTTGCACCCACTCCTGCATTTCGCTCTCTACTTGAGCACGAAGCAGGTTCAGCCGTGGCACGGCACGGGGAGGGGACAGGAGATGCTCCAAAGGAAGACGGCAAAGAGGCAGCCACATTAATGAGTGTTTAATTAGGGGAATTAGCTCCCACTGATGAGCTATCGCATCCCGATGCTGCTCGGGAGGATGAGAGTTTCTGGCACCCTGGGGTCCTCGGGGAGGTTAACTCAGCACCGGGCTGGGCAGAGGGGGCTGAGGAGCCCCCAGGGCCACCTCTGGGGGCTGCAGGAGATTGTCGGGGAGCTGTCAAGGATTTGAAAGAGCAGCCAGAAAAAAAGCAAATTCAGTAATGCCCCACGGCCGTGGGCCCACGTGGAAATGCGTCCTGCTGCACGACAGGCACGGAGCACACCGCGGGGAACCACACCTTGCCTTGTCACCGAGTGCCTGCTAGAAAACACAAAGATTCTCCTCTCCTTATTTTTTTTTTTCCCCAGAAAACCCTCTGGGTATCGGACAAGCCACCATGCACTGGAACAAAGCCCTGCTTATGAAATAAGTTCAGGAAAAATCAGTATTTTCCTCTCGCAGAGATACCAAGAAAATTCATTTTTATTTGCTTGGACTACTTGTATCCGTCAGAACAACGAAAGCCCTAAACCATTGCCCAGGCCCAGCGGGATGTGTCAGACCTGCTGCCCCACAGGGTGCTGCACGTGTTGTCCTAACCCTAATTCTTCCCCCTGCCTTCCAGAACCAGGGGTGGAAATTGAGGAGTTTACCTCATTAAATGCCTTGGGACGCAACCCTAGAGCATGCGACGGTGAATTCCTGCCCTTCTGCAGACCAAGGATGATCAAAACCCACCTGATTCAGAGAAAACACCCCAGAGCTGAAGGAAAAGTCAAGCAGGACCTGTGCCCTGGCCGATGTGTCTCAGCCCTCTAGGGGGAAACAGAAAATCTGGTGGCGAAAGGAAAGCAGGACCCGCACCGAACCCCCCGCGTTTGTGCTTTGAAAACCATCGACGTGACGTTGGGGGGAGCAGACAGACCAAATCAGAGGGAATTAACACCAAACCAGATCCAAAAAAAAATAGTCATGTAGAAAAAAATAAAAAATAAAATAAAAATCGAAGAGGCTAAGGCGTGCCCGGTCCCCAATGTGCCACCACGGCCGCTGGTGAGAAGCCTTCCCGCGGGGAGCAGCGAGCTGCCCTACCCCAGGCCGACATCCAGGGACATCATCACCACGAAGCCGAGCACGGAGGTCCAGGAAGCCAGCTTCCCGTTGCCACTGCAGGGAAAAAAACGAAGGGGTGAGCTCCTGGGGTGCTTGTAGGGTGGGTAAAGCACAGCTCGGAGCCTCGTCGGGGAAGGGAAGGGGTCTCCCGGAGCCCTCGGTACCTCCCCGTGCCAACTGGAGGCTCACCTGGTCTGCGCCTCGGGGATGATATCGTCCATCACCACGTAGACCATTGCTCCGGCCGCGAAGCCCAGGGCGTAGGGGAGGAGAGGCTCTGCCACCACCACGGCGAAGGCACCGAAGACGCCAGCCAAGGGCTCCACCATGCCGCTCAGCTGCCCGTACCTGCAAGGCAACGAGCCTGAAAGGGGCCGCGCACCCCGGGAAGCCCCCCACGGGGAGCACCGAGGGGCTGCGGTGTGGGGAACGGGGTCCTCCCCGGTGCCACCGTGTCCAGGAGGAGGTCAGACGCTGTCCTGCACACACCAAACCCCCTGGGTCACTCTCGACAGGTGATGGAGATGATTTGACCAAACCCCGCTGATTTTTCCAGGCTGGGAATTAAGGCACCATCCGGATCCTTCCCCCCAAAACATCTCTGCGGGGTTTGGGGATCCAGGTCGCAGGCAGGGCTGGGTCAGAGAGGAAAAATTTGCAACCAGCTCAGCTCAGTCCCCAAAAGGACACCTGGCCACAGCCTCGCCGCTCTCCCCCTGCCTCGTTTTCTTTCCTTCTGGGGCTGTTTTAAGGAACGAAGCTCCCCAGCCCAGGGGAGCTCCCTTCCAGCAGCAGCCCTGGTGCAAGTCCCAGCCCTGGCTGCGCTGGCCGAAATGGGGGTGGGTGGGAGGGAAAGAAAACAAAGCCCCCCCCCTGCCCTCCCATCCATCACCCGGCCGAGCACACGTGCACGGGCAGGAACGTGGCCCTGCGCCTGCAGAGTTCATGCCCTCGGCTTTTTCACCTCGGGGGAGAAGGAGAAAAACAAAGTGGGTTTGAAACGCAGCCCAGAGCGAAGTGAGAGAAAAACCAAAACCAAAACAAAACCCCAAAAAAAAAATAAAATAAAGACTTTTTGGGGCAGGATCTGGGAGCTGAGCGCAGGCACCGCTCAGCCGGCTGAGCTGGGCTGGAGCAAAACCACGGGGACCGGGGCGAGCTGGGGGCTCGGGGCTGAGCTGGGGGGCACCAGACAGCACCCCCTGCTCTCCTCCCAGGCTGCTGGCAGGTCTGCAGCACAACATCAGCCCCAGAAAACCCTCCCCGTTGAGCACAAAGACCATGGGAGGAGGCTCTTGGCCAACACAAACCCATCCCGAGGGCACCCCCAGGCACCCGATGAGGGGGAGCTGCTCGCAGGGTGCTGGCGCCGTGGGCTGGGGGCAGCTCTGCCTACCAGAACGCCTTCCAGGTGGAAAATCCCGCGCCACGTAAAGGCAGGCTGACGGCGAGGCCTTCGGGGAAGTTCTGGATGCCGATCCCGATCGCCAGGTTCCTGCCAAACAAAAGAGCAGGCATGGGTACCCGCAGCCACCTCGGGTGGAAAGGACGGGCTGGGAACTGGAAAGAGAAAGGAGTTGTGAAAGATGTGCCTCTAATGCAAGCACAGCTCGCCCTGGTGAATATTTAAGGTGAGCACAGCAATGCATGGGGCCAATTCTGGGTGCAGAGCAGAAATAAGGCGAGCTCTCCAAACGATGCTGGAGGGGTTGGGGGCAGCAGGGAGGCACCCCAACAGCAGCCAGACCCCAACACGGTTGGGAAAGGGAGAGGGGAGAGGTCTGTCCGTCCGTAACGTAACCCAGGCTGCTGTGAGGACCAGTCCTAAGGCACAAAAGATAAAAAGCCCCGATAAAGGGGCTTACACGGGGAGGCACGGCAAACTTGAATGGCCCCAGGGGCAGAAAACACGGGTTTTGTAGGATTTGAACCCCAAGGGCAGCCCGGAGAGGTTTGGATGCTGGATGTGGATTTGTCCCTGGGGACACCAAACTCGACCACGCCGGGGGGCTCAGGCTGGGAGCCTCGAGGAGCCCCCGGCCCCTACCCGGCCCCAGCGGGGTCGGCGATTCCTCATCCAGCAGCTGAGAGCTCCCTTTGCTGCCCCAAACACTTGTTTCCCATTAGTAAAATAAGACTGGTGAGAAAAAAGCTCTCCGGGTTGTTTAAACTTCTACCACGGTTTACAGAAGAGGGGGGGGGGGAGAGGAGGCTGTGGGTTTCCCTAAGCAGGACAGGCTGCTACAATCAAAAACATTATTCAAGGCAAAGAGAGAGGGAACGGAGGGGGAAAAACATCCCTTTTAGAAAACACTGGGGCCGCTGTCTGTGTGCTGGTGTGCTTTTTTTTTTTCCTCCTCCTTCCCTCGCCTTCACACAAAGCAGCTATTACCAGCCCCAACCACAACAAATTAATGGGGTGGGAGAGGGAAGTGTGAATGGAGGGGTCTGTACGGGAAGCAGCCCCGAGCTCCCCCCTCGCTGACCCCTTTGCTGTGGGGCTGCCCGGGCATAGAGGCAGCCCCCAGGGGCACGAGGGGGGGAATTTAACCCAGGGAGAGACCCAGCAGGAGAAATGCAGCCGGGTGGGCTCGCCCCTGCCCTCCTCCTCCCCTCTCTGCCACGCACACCCCTTGGCGAACCCATTGGGGCTCCCTGAAAGCAGGAGCCAGCCCCAGCCCACGGCAGCACCGATGCCCAGGGGGGCTGGGGCGTCCTGGGGGAGTGGGCTCGGGGGGCACGGGCCTGTCTGGGGGAGGTAGAGGTGCTGGCAGGGAGGAAGGCTCGGGGAGAGAGGTGCTGCACCCACGGGGAGCGATGGTCACGCACCGCGGGTGCTCCGACCCCAAAAGGGACACGCCAGGGCCAGGTCACCCCCTTCCACCACCCCTCGGTGGGAAGCAGCCACGTGTCCCCTGCTCCAAGCCAGGTTTTAACCTGTTTTCCCAAGGAATACGAGTGCAAAAACCCAAGGAACAGGGGTGCAGGCATCGTGCCACGAGGGTGCCAGCCGTCGGGCGCAGACACGGCTCAAGCGTGCGGCACCGCAGGAGGCAAAGGCCACCGGAGCCCCAGCACCTTGCCCTGGGACATCCACGGGGTAGAAAGGACTTTCTGGGCTCAGCTTCAGGGTGACACTGTCCCCATGATGGCACCGAGCCCCTCTGAATTGCTCCTGCTCCCCCAACCCACGCTCCCCACGTGTCACAGCCCCGCGTTCCTCCAGCGCTTCCCAGCACCGCAGCTCTGCCTGGAGCGCTTCGTGGATTTTCGGGCTCCCTGAGCCTTTTCCCAGAGACGCTAATCCCATCAGGATGAGAAGGGCTCCGTGACAACACGGGGGCCAGGAACACACAACCCTTCCTATTTGCTCTGCCTCGGTTCGCTGCACCAAGGGCACCTCCGCTCGCCGCTCCGGGGCCACCTCTGTTTGCCCAGCGCGGCGGCTCGGAGATGTCCGGGTGCTCGGGCGAAGAAACCGAGCTCTGATGCCTCAAGCTGCGAACAAAACCCATCCCAGGAGACATTCCTCTGGCCCTCGGCCGCCGATCCGCACACACCTCACACCTCGGCAGCTCCCGGCTACGCGCTGGGGGAAGAAAGCGAGGGAGTCGCATAAAGCTGCATTGTGCGCGGGGAAAACAAAGGCGTCCTTATGACGGAAATAGGTGGGGATTCTTGGAAGGCTTCCCCCTGCTGCAAAGAAACACATTGTAAAACAGATGCACAAAGGCAGCCTGCAGCAGGAGGGCCGGGGGCCGTGCCTCCGGGTGCCCACGGGCAGCGGGACGCAGAGGAGGTGGCAAGGAGACGAGGTGCTTTAGCCCAGGGGGCAGGCACGAAATGTTTAGGGACATTGGGGTGGCTGAAGTGGGGCAGGGGGGAATAACTGGTACTGGGGTGCGTGAAGCTGACCCTATTTTGTCTGATGGGTTGCCCATGGCCAGCTAAAAGACATTTTGCAGACAGGAGGATAACCTTCAACGTACAAAGCGCATTGATCTGAAAATAGAGGAAACCACACCAGACGCTGGGGATGCGCGTGCTCCTCCAGCAGCTCCACCACCAGCCCCCTGGCCAACGCAGGGAAGTCGCTCGGGTGTCTCTGCCACTTCAGGCACCAGGGCCTCAGGTGTCCTTCGAAATACCAAGGAGCAAGGAGCCAAAACGTGTTGGGAACGCTCCCTTTCCCAGCGCTCTGCCCCGGGTTCCCCAGCTGTGAAACGGGGCGAGCCCAGCGACGTGCCCCCTACCCCCTCCACCTGGGAGCAGGAGTGCTGGTCCCACGCACACCTCACACCTCTGCAGATGCCGGCAGAGCCCAGCGGGGTAATTTTAAGGAAGAAAAGGTGAAATCTCGGGCACCAAGCTGAGCGTCACCGAGGACCAGCTCCTCGTGGCAGGAGGGGAGCACCCGCGCCCCCCGGGGCCGTACCCCCGCTGGCTGCCAAGCGCCGCGGCACCACGCTGGGAGGCTCCAAGTTCACTTTCAAAAAAAAAAAAAAAAAAAAAAAAAGTTGGCATCTCCGCATATTTGCAAGGTCAAGGCACAGAAAGCCTTCTATAAGCCTAAACCCTTGTTTTCAAGGGCCTATTCTTTTACAAACTGATTATGAAAGCAGGCTACATATTCTTAACAAGCCCCTTTTCACTCCGGCTTTCAATTCCCTCCAGTGTATAATGTGCATGTGTATTCTTGCATGGCAGGCCCTTACATACTGTTTTGATTGTTATCGTCTTGCCATGAAAGGGCCGATTGTTTTGGGTTCCCGAGATTACATCACGGCTTCCCACTCGGGCTGCCCGTCGAGGTGTTTGATCAGGGCTCGCAGGTGGGAAGGAGCCTGCGGTGAGCGCGGGGCCCTGAGCGTTTCCCCATACCTGCCCTACCTGTTCAACGCAGCTGCCTCGGCACGCAAGCTCTGCCTGGGCTTTCCCGGCGCCTCTCACGCGAGGCAGGGATGCGGCGCTGAACCCATCCGACATCGGGAACCCGGGAGCCCTGAGCTGTCCTCCTGGGCAGCACGGAGACGGTCGGGCTGGAAGCCGCTGCGTAATTTGCCGGTTGCGCAGAGATACGGGAAGGTTGGGAGTTATACGGGGGTGAAAGGTGGAAAAAAGTAGGTGCCGTGGTTTTAATTTGGAAGTCATCGGCAGAGCTCTCAGCTGACCCGTGCAAGGAGCCTCCCAAATGGCACCGAGGACGGGCAGCAAAGCTGAAAGGAAGCGAAGGGAAGGGAGAAGTGGCAGGGAATAATTTGGGGCACAAAGCAGTGGAAGAGGCGCAGAGCTCAGGAGGCAGGAAAGGGCAGGACAGGCGCACGGACGAATATCTCAAACTAAAACCACAGAAGCACAAGAAAACAGGCCTGATTTTGATGGGTTACAGAGGTTTTTGTGCAAACCACCCTGCCAAGCTCATCGTGGGGCTCTGCTCCGACACCCACGGGGCTCCCGGGGCTGCTCGCAGCCACCTCTGCACGAACACCTGCGAGATGATTTCCCTCCTCGGAGAGCCAAGAAAAGGCCTTCACCACCCCGTGCGTGCACCCAGGGCAGCGACGGGCACAGCCCTGACCCTGCTGGGTTTGTGACCCCCCCCCGTGCCACCTCTCGCCCCTCCACTGCCTCTTTTCCAAGCCCCCAGCCGGGGCTGTGCCGCACGGGCTGCGTCCCATCTGCTCGCCTGGCCCCCGGCCAGCCTTCAATACCCAGGGCTTCAATACCCGGCAAACATTTACAATTTTAGGAAATTTTTACCCTTAATTCATCCCCAAGGCACGCACGCAAAGTTCAAAGCCGTAAAACCCGCTCGCTCTCCTCCGAGCGCGCCAAGCGGGACGTGAACTTGAGCTGGAGAGCACGAAATTCCTCGGCTTCCACGGGGCAAATCCCTGGTGTCAGGCAGAAAGGGGGAGGCAGGCGAAGGAGCAGGGCTGCAGGGAGGGGACACGGATGCCACCACCATCCCCTCTTGCAAAACGCCAGCTCACAGCAGGCTCGGGGACCCCCCGTGCCCCCCACGTGGCCGTATCCTGCAGACCTGGGATGTTCGAGGCTGCAGCAAAGAGCCCAGAGCCAGCCCAAAGCTTTTTCGGGTTGGTTATGGTCGGCTCGCATCCACAGCCCGATCGCACCGGGGGGGTCCCGTTGTCTCGGGGCCGTTTATTCCCCTGGGGGTTGAGAATCTGTGCTCTTATCTGCCCGCTTATTTACGGCCCTGTTTGATTTATGAGTCAGCCTCACGCACGGGGTAAAAGTTCACGTCTCCCCCTACCCGCGGCGCACAAAGCCGCGTCCCACGGCTCCGTGCCTTCCTGCTCTCCTCTCTTTCGCTGGGTTTTGACCCCAGCAGGAGGTCAAAACACAGCTCAGGGAGGCTCGACCTGCACCCAGCTCCCCTCAGAGCCCCTGTAAACCCCACCTGCTCGCTCAGGATCCTGCCCGCAGCACCAAACCTGACCTGGCTTTGGCCGCGTGCTGGCAAAGCGAGCA